ACAAGAGTTATAATGTGTAATGTTATGTTACTAAACATTGTTTTAATACCCTGTTTCTTTCTAACTGATCCACGTCTTTCCTAAGAGTCCTAAGAGACAACAGTTCATTTGGCCATTTAGCATAATCCATGAGAACATTAAATATTTTTAAACATTTGTTACAGGCCTTTACATTGGTAATGAAATTCATAATTATTTCACTAAATATTCTTTTCTGTAATAGCTAATACTGTTACTCTAGAGTCCCCTTCCTCATGCACAGAAGGGAAAAAGTCTAGAAAATTATAGTTAAGGAGCTCTTTAGAAACACAGCTAGGTAAAAACAAAGCTGCATTTGTTATAGAAACAACAGGTAGAAATCAACCACTTACAGGTCAGTGGAATACAATAACAGAAAAAAAAATAGATGCATGCCTTTAATCCCAGCACTTGGGAATCAGAGGCGGGCAGATCGCTATGAGTTCAAAGCCAGCCTGGTCTCCATAGTGAATCCCAGGCCAGCTGGGGCTACAGGAAGACCTTGTGTCAAAAATACCAAGGGAAAAAAAAAAGAATCTGACTATTGATAATAATTATCTTACTCTCCTGATGGAAAAGTGAGAGCATCTCACTACTAGACTGAACTTCACTAGAATGGAATGTATACCACATTTCCTGAGAGTAACAAGCACAGGGCAGACATGTATGTAAGAATATTCAGCTAAGTAGCTTTGATTTGGGAATTTACTCAGACTATGTTTTTATATTATCCCAGTGTCTGTAGTCCTCATTCAAATTTTTCAACTAAAATATAAGCCAAATATTGCATACACTTCAGTGGTAGCACAGGACATAGTAATACAGAAGTACTGAATAGTTATGATGGAAATATTTTATCATCTACATTTTGTGTCTGTCAGTTGAGAGAATAATAAAATTGATTGTGAAGCAGATTATGAGGAAAATAGTTGAAAATGTCTCCTTTTCCCCCGCTAGTGTATATAACATCTGTCTCTAACCCTCCTAACCCCCACAGTCCATAGACACATCTAAAGTATTCACAAATTTTGGAATCTGTGCTGACTCTAAATCCCCAGCTGTGAGTGCCTGTACATGTTTGTAAATTATTTGTGAAAGAAAGTACTGATTTTTCAGCTTTTTTACCATAACCTTTTTTTTCTGTTAGCAGGAGATTTGACAACAAAACACAAAAGTTGGCACTTAAGTTCAGAGGTATATTTAAGAGATATGCTTACTTTATGTCCAATACAACTACCCAAACACATTTAGAGAGTAAATAAAAGTAATACTATAGAGGACATCTAGATATAAGGCTGCTTTGTTCCCTAGGGTCTTTCTGAAGAACAGTTAAGAGTCTGTCTAAAATTACATTACATACTATGTCTGGCAAGGTTTATCACCTATATGAAATTTGTTGCTGAGTTAAACCTCGGGATATAAGGTTTCTGGGAAAATGAAGAAGAAAGTCTAAACAGAGAGAAAAAAATCAGCCCAGCTGCCACTAACGTCATACAACAATAATCCGCAATTATTTTCGCATTGCTTCCAACGCTGATAGCCTCAGATTTCTAAAGAATCATACTGAAGATCATTAAACAAAAATATGGTCCCTCTGGGCATTTTGAGAGGAAAGGAAAATGAAAACTGAGCTGCTCTGCTCTCACATAGAGGTGGTGGGGGCAAGCAAAAGCCCACACGTTTGTTTTTATTCAAAGACAAATAGCTCATTTTCTACTGTCATTTGGGATAGAGTCCACATGCTATTAATTTTAATCATTTTTACTTTCCCTAATCACAGATTTTGCTCTCAGGAATAAAAGCTAAAATATGCATGAGAACTTAAAGTGACAATGTGCAGGCTAGAATCTGTGCATGTCTTTGAGGTAAACCTAAACAGTGTCCAGTGCTTTCTCAGTAGTCGTCCAGATGTCTAATTGACTGGTTGTGTCCAGTGGAAATAGGTTTGTGTGCAGGTATGCATGCATTCATGCATGCATGCATATGTGATTTTTTACAAAACTGGGACATATGAAAATTTCTTGATGACCCCTTTATTCCTCTGTGGAGATGTAGAAAGAGGAGAAGGAAGACTAGCTTTATGTCAAGACATTTCTAGCTTCAAATTCAGGGTTTTCTTCAGTTTTGAGATCTTAGGAAAATTTGTCCAACTTTTTAAAGACTCATTTCTCCACTTTATAATATGAGGATAATATTATCTGCCATCTAATTTGCCACAATCCAGAAGCAGGGGGTTTTCACTACATTCTTGGAGGCAGCACCATATAGAGTGGTCATCCAACATAGAGAATAGTTCCCATTTCTAAATCTTCCCAATCCTGAATCTTATCTCCCTAGGACATCTTGCTCTGTTTAGTAAGGTATGTTGCTAATGGACTAATCAGCTAAAAATAAATCTTCACAAATTCATTAACTGCTTTCCAGCAATGAGTACTTTAACCTACTGAAAATGTATAGCTCCTAAGAGTCCAGCCTCATGATAATCTTAGCATATTTTGAGATATATTTTGATCAGAAGAAACCATAAAGTATCTTTGCTGTCACCAAACATAGATGGCCATCTACCTTCTCCCATCCATCCACCATTCACAAAGTCACATTTTCATCATTCTACCTGTATCTCTGTATGTACGTAGAACTGCAAACATTTTTCAGGCACATGACTTCATTTATTTCCAGGATTTCTTGCTATTGGCTGGTAAACTTAATGCTGTCGCGACATCTTTCCTATCCCTACTTAGCAGACACAATGTGTTACCATATTTCACTGTCCAGCACCGGTTTAATTGTGAAAACTACTGCGTGAAAAACTTCGAAGTGTATAAATCAAGTTTCAAGACGGTAGTTCTAAGAATAATTAGAAAACTATCAAAGTTTCAGATGCATGCACATTCCTAACATTTACCATAATGTATACTTGCCCTATTACTCATTGGTTCTAGGATGACTGAAATAAACTCCATCAACTTGAACTTTTCTCTAAGGGTCACCCTTGCTGGAGTTGTCTAACACCAGTTGTTCAGCTTCATTTTATAGTTTCACTGTTCCCTTATAGAGCAATATTTTTGTAAAATATCCTTGCATGAACAACCTAATTTCAGCCCATAAACCTCAGGTCCTTTCCCTTTCACCCTCCTTTGGATACAGATATATTATGAAAGCAGTACCTGTGTAGGGATGCTTGAATGCATAAAAGAAACATTTATTGAACAAGACTTTTTAAAGTTTATTTTTACTGAATTTTGGTGTATTTCATTCAGAACATTTCAATCGATCTTAATCATCTTTATACCCACTGGCACCCTCCCATACCACCCCCTTGAGCCTATATACTCTGTCATCCGCAACGGTGTCAGCATACACAAGTCCCATCAAACTCAGGCAGACAAAAACCTAGCATAGAATGGGGGAAATGAACAACAGACCCCAATCTGAGCTGAAGAAATATTGGCAACTGTTAGCTGCTAGGTGAAAAAGAGCTGATCTTCCTAAAACAAGGGACTCTAGATAGGCTGACTAGACCTCAGTGGATGGACTTGCACTGGGGAATGTCTGGGACAAGGACTCTTAAAGTAACCTGCTGCTTGATCATTTGGATCTTGCAGTTTCTGTCTTCAAATATGCACCACGGTATCCAAAATTGACTCATGAGTTATCCTCATATCTGTGGAATAGTTTATTGAATTTTGTGTGTTTCATACACAACATCTTAATCATTTTTATGTCCCATTACCTACCACCACCCTCCCAAAGCACCTCACTGGAATTCATGCATTGTGCCATTTACGTTAGGCTACTGAGTCAAGTTACTGTCCCCAGACGTCCCTCAGTACAAAGTCTTACAGGCTACCTGGGATCTTGCGAATATGAACTTACAGCACTGGTGTCAGCATGCACAAGACCCATGCAAGCTCAAGCAGACAAAAACCCAGCATAAATCTGTGCAAATAGGCAGCAGACCCAAATCTTAGCTGAAGAACTATTGGGCAACTGATTACCCATGAAAACTTTTTAATTCATTTGATATGGTGTTCATGCTCCATCTACTGCAATTCAAAACATACAACTCATTCCTCATGGCCAGAAGATCAGGATGGTTAAATATTTCCCCTGATTCTGAGGGTCAGTCACAGAGCAGACATGTGACCAAAAGCCAATGAGTAACTTTTGATCCTGAGATCACTTGATTGAATACCTAATCCACACCCAGAATAACTTCCATTCACCTGAAATCTGTACTATCACTTGAGGTATATACGCATCTGTTTAACAATCTTTAGGAAATCCAAACTTTCTGCATCATGAAGATAGAGCAGATGGTTAGAATCACAAGTATAAATTAGTTATGAACTTCAACCTTATCAGCCATACCTCTACTCCAAAAATCTCTCTGGTGTGAAAAAGGCTTGAAAGTCATCATGACCATCCTTACAAAAAGGAAAAGGTGAATAAAACCTAAAAAAGCAACAATTTTCAGGTTCCTTAGCTAGTTT